ATAAGTAGAGTCATTTTAAATAGTAGTTTAAAAGTAGAGTATAATTTAATATGATGAGTTCCTTTTTCAAAATAAAAAAGTGAACAATTTTTAACATTCAGCTTGTATGTGTATTGTGAAGTTTAAAGGTTGAATTAAAATTAACTACGTTCTTTGTTATGTAGAATGATTTTAATAGAATTGAATGACTCGAATAATTTGTTATTTGATAATTAAACATTAGAAGAAATGTCGATTAATCTTTCGAATATTTCACATAAACTCTTAATCAAATATATCTTTTAATTTTTTCTAAATTTTTCATTAGGTTAATAATGATGAGCAATAAGATTTAGATAGATTTATTTCTTCCTTCTTGACTAATATCTATTTAAAGCTTTTGGACGTAATTCATGCAATTTTGGAAGAGTTCTGTGACATTTTGCTCGTATTGTGATTAGCTTTATTAGAATATTAATTATTCGTAATCGATTATCGATACTTACTATCGATATTTAGATGTCGCTAGGAACTTGTCCAACAAGATACAAATTGTACCGAAAAGTTTCGTAAGATATTGAAAGTATAAATTAGCAAAAAGAGGTATAGGAAATTAAATTTTGCGAAGAAAATATTGTATAGTATAAAATGTAATTAATTTTAAAAATTGAAATAGTGATTAATTTGAAGATAAATCGATATCCTAGGAAAATTTGAGAATTTGTTTATAGGTTAGATTGATCATGCTTTCATATCAATTTTTTTGATTTGTAAATAATATTCAATTCTCTTCTAATCAACCTACATATGCTTAGACAAGTAAATCAAATTCTAAGAAAATTATTGCGTGTTTTATTTAATTTGCATTTTATCATAAAGGTTAAGTAGAGAGTAGCAGGTTCGACGTTGTTTCTTTCAGGTTAACTTGCGTAGCGAGAAACGTCGAACAAGGTTATGAATAATTATTCATTCTGTTCGACATTATTTCGATAATTCTGCCGGTGACTTTTCTTTCCGGAAGCATAGAATAAATCGAAGTACCTTCTGATGCGATTGTGTCAAAAAAAAGTATTAAATTGGAACAAATATACGATTGTTACATTTGCAACCTATGGGACGTCATTTTTCTTTTTCTCTCTCATAAAACCTCCTACCAAATTAGTTGGTATTAAAACAATTTGAATTCATTATTCTTTAAATAATCATTAAAATTGCAATTGTCAGTTTGTATCTAAAATTATCTAACTTATGAATTATTTAGAAGTTCGGAGAATAATCAAATACTTTTAACAGGAATCGAATAAATTTCATTTTACATCTTGTGTAAACTCGAAAGTATTTAATAAGTAATTTAATAAATAATCAAAGTGTTGTTGAACATAATTTGAAAATATGAATTCAAATTGTTCGAATATTCAAAAATATTCTACAATGGATTCGAGGTTAGTATTTTTAGGTTAGTAAACTACATATTTCTTTAGAACAATTTTTTGGGTAAAAGAATTAAGTTTTTAGTAATTATACACATGGTTAATCATACAGAGTAGTCGTAGATTGGATTTTTATAAAATAAATAAAGCAGTTACTTTGAAGTATTATTTCATACGATTTAAAGCTATAAATTTCTTTTTAAAATAAAATTATTTAAAGTATATACAAATTTAAGAGATAATTTAGTAAGAGACATCAATAAGATTTCAATTTAGAATATTTAAAAAATATAACGACATAGTGGCAAGTTTTTAAATATTGAAATAAAAATAGCCTTAATTTGCAAGATATTAACAATAAAAAATAGTGCTTTTCGTTAAAAATGAATACACGGTTATTATTTTTCGAAATAAATATGTCCAAATAAGTTATTCGACAAACATTATCCAGAAACGAAAATGATCAGTTAAATATTCCATACATGATGGTATAATTTAATAAAATTTACTTTCAACTTGATATAAATTAAAAAAAGCACAAATAATTGTAGAAATTTGACATAGGCATCGAGTATTTTATATTACTTTTATCTGTAAATAACGAAGATTAATAGAATGGAAGAGATTAAGAAGAGAAGATAATCGTTCGTTTTTATAAGGTGAGTGAATTGAAAGGTAAATGGTGGAAAATCGAAGATTACTTAAATGCACACACTATTTATTTCGAATGCATAATCGTACGGTTAACATACCTGGTTTCACGTCATTCTGGTTGATCAAAATCTTGCACCGGATATAAATGATGAATCGATCTCGCTTTTAATCGGATACTTGGGGGATTAGAATCAACTATAATATAAATGTCGATATCTTTACGATGTACACACAACAAACGTTCAATTACTCTTGCTTCTCTTCGGTTCCTTACACGAATATAAATAATACCGACTTAAAAACTATTTTTTTTTACGCTCCTTCATTTTCTTCTTTTATTTATTTGCCTATAGAAATTACGTCTAAGAAACTGCGGTTTAAAATCTCTGCGAGACTCTCTCCATTCTTAACGAGTTTCATCTTTTTTCTTTTACCGATACCATTTTCCACTATTATTTCCTTGCTGTTGTTTCGCAAAAATTATTTCGCGAATATTGTACAATTTTTATTTCATTTGTTATTATACAATTCTTCATGCTCTGAATTGCTTTCTGCGCCGATTCGGATATGAATTTTTCTTTTTTTTTTCTTTTTCGTTTCTTTTAACCTATGTTACGATAAATAAAATCGTCACTTCGAATTCGTGACAAAATTAAACGGTTTGCACTGGAGAACGAGATACTTTAATCACGCTTCTCGTTCCTTAAAATCTTTGAACAAGAACGTTTCCTCGCAAGAAAACACGTACGATGTTAGGAAAGTTTTGTCATATATCAATATAGATATATTTGAGGATACAAATCATTTTTAAAAAATGTGAAATAATTAAATAAATAATTATGAACATAAAAGAGTCAGGGAAGAAATATTTAAAAGTACCTAAATATTTTTCGTACGATCTAGTTATCTCGTATTCCGAGACTTTCTTTTTTTACATATCAATCAATTAAAAAATCGTCGCCACTTTAGTAGTAGATATATGGAATGAAATATATAGAAATTTTTACATCATGTGACGAGTCATAAAAGACATCTTATAAATTAATAAAAACTATATGACAAAACCTTTTTAACATTTTACGTATGTACAAAGCGCTAATAAACGATCGAAAAGTAAATACGTATTCCGAATCTGAAGCGATACATGTCTAATTCAACAATCTTTAATTTCCATGATTTATTCGCAAAAAAACATTTTAATCCGTCCATGGTGAACAGATGTCTCAAAGACCTCTAAGTTTTTCGGTTTCCGCTGGTTGATAATAAGGTATTACACCAATATACCTTCGCTGCCTATAATTACTTAATTACCATCAAAACGAAAACACTTCGTTACGTAAATCCCGCTAACAACATATTACAAAATTTCGGTACCTAGTAGCTTCATTATAAAGAAATTTCTCCCATGGCATCGTCATGGACTACCATGGAGAGCAATACTGGCGAAATGGACGCCACTTTGACCCATTACTAAACAATGTTCATCGTAACTCGCGGTACAAACAAGAGGTTTATTTCGAGAAAAAACTGTACGCGTCCTGAGAACTATTTTACTTGTTATGTTAGAGACCAAGTTAATTGATCGATTAAGAACATTTCTCTCTTATCATTTTTAGCCTTTTCACGATCATAAATTTATACATGGGTAGGCAAAATACATTGACTTGTAAACTAGTGTTTCATATAGAGACCAGCCTTATGTTACTATATGTAAGTACTAACATTGTTTTCAATATAATTTGAAACAAGAATATAGGCATTTAAGTAAATAGAAAATCTTCAGTTATGGTCCTTTTCTTTGTCTCTTTTTAAGTTGGAAAAAAAATATCTAATATCGTGTATTATCAATTAAGATATGCTTTCTTGCTATGAACTTTTGTCATCTAATTTTCTTATGACTGGAGAATGGAAAAACACTGTAAACAGAATAGATCTGATTAGTTAATACATTCGACCTGTTCTTTAATACCTATGTATATACTGTGCAGCTGACGAATTGGATTTACAGATCTTTCCACTCTTCAGAATTTTATCCTGATTTCTCCCAGAAGCTTACTTTTGCTCGATAGATCTTCAGTTCACAAAATGGTCTTGATCGACTGATTCTTTTGGTCTCTAATATGATTAAGAAAAATACAATGGCTAGAAAAGTAAACGAGATCATCAAGCGATAATTATCGATCGTTTATAGTATAAACATTATATTCCTACTGCAGCTGTTTGATTATGCGAATTTTCTGAACGACTTGGTTCATTTTCCTCTTGCAACGTCGATGATACGCGAGTCTACGACAAAGAGACTTCTACAGATGTTTGTTCTTCCTGTGAATCTTTTCAAGGCAAAGGTGTATTTTGTTACATCTTTGGGCGTGTACGAGGGTTCTCAAAGATCGTTTTCCAATCGATCACTTTGTCCTTGATCGATATGCTTGAAACTCAGACTTGATGTAGATACTTTAAACCAGATTAAAAATATCAAGAAACTAACAATGGAAAATCATAAAAAATATATTCATCGATCGAAAAAGTAGCTTTCTATCATCTTTTTTGTAATATATACTGTTAATCGTACACGCCTTGTGATTTGCAAAAGCTTTCATCCAACACGAAAGAAACGTTCTTTGCGAGGAAAATATGTTTTTTCATGCGACAGATTTTGCGTCAGTGACGTCACCAACATTGTTATCATCATCATTATTCTCTATTCTTCGTACGTTCTACGAACGATTTTAAGAGATCGCCTTTGGATTGTCAAAGGCAGTCGACGATCATCGACCACAGAAAAATCAATTTTTACTGAACAGTTGCAAGAGCTGCCTTTCATCGATTTCGAACGTCTTCTCCTTGCGTTCTCTTGTATCTAACGTTTGTGAGACTAACGTAAGTCAAAGAAGCTCAAGCCTACGGAGAGGATGTCGACACCGATGACCACCACGGTCACTGTAGCCTTGGGGACCAGTATTGCGCTGCCATATCTGGTGCTGGTTGACCTGGTACCGCAATTGGTACGCTGACACCTGGTGATATCAGACCTGAAAAGTGATTAGATATTTATTTAATCCATAAATTTTCTTTTGATAGGAATTATCTTATTACTTCTATCTTATATTTAAAATAACTTAAGTTATTGCGAAGTTGTTAGGATACCATTTTTCAAATTCTTTTAAGTTTGCAATTTGAAATAACGATATTATTTTTGCGAGATTATGTAATGAATAAGATAGTGGAGTGCTTTGAAGTAAGAATTATTAAAGTACATGTGTAGTAGTACAAGTTAACTTGAGAAATAAAAGTACAGGTATTAGTGTTATAAATAATATATCTATGGATTCTACTGCTTCCCAAAGTGTAATTAAGTATTCGATATTTGAGGGAAATTTATATAAATTTTAATTACGCTATTTACTTGCAGGTAATTTTTGTGACTATTTATTAGAGTTAATATTTTGCATGATATGCAGCGTGCTTTGGTAATTTTTGTAATAGCGTGCAGAAAGTAGTGTATTACAATGCATATAATGTATAATGAATAGAATTTTTGGAGATGCGACAGACATGTGAAATGAGATTTAATAATCTGAAATAAGTAACACTAAGTGGATGGATGATTTAAAACATAAGGACATAATTTCGGAATTTCAAACATAGATAGTGGTCTTCCAATATTAACTAGTCTTTAGTCTTTAAAGTATAAAAGTAGAAAATGTTATCGGGTTTGATATACAGGGTGGATCATCACTGTCTTTTAGGTTTACGTCTTTATTATTACGCGTAACGAAAAATGTTTAACGAAAAATGGATTTCCATGTCAAACATTTTTCGCTGCGCTTAATAATAAAAAAAGTAAACCTAAAAGGCCAAATGTAGTGGCCCACCCTGTACATTATAAAATAGGTAAAGCAAATTATCTATGTCTTTTTATACTTGACAAAATGTTATTATTTCTATTGTCAATATTTTTCAATATTTAGAAATAATACATTATCGTGTTAAGATTAAAAAGAATATTATAATTCTGCTGTTGCCTCTTTTTAATATCTTTTATGACGGAATGTCCCTATTTAATATCAATTACGTAAATTTATATCTTAAGTCGACTATAAAGAGAAGAATTATTTTTAGTTATTATTAAAAAATAAAGTAAAGGTTCTTCCTTTAAAAAGATATATTATTGATAATAAGGTCAAGAAAAATAATTATCATTAGATAAAAATATTCGTATCTATATTAATTATTCAACATTATATTAATGGTTAACAAGTGATCACTTTCTCATTATTAACTTACGACCTTTTACGACCTAAAATGACCTTTTACTAGATCTCTATAAACTTATATCTCACATTCTATACTGAGCATAGAAGCATATAGGATACTATCTAAAAAAAAAAAATACGGTCACCTTGGATCTTTATGATAAAACTACTTCTATCACGCTATCATTAACTATAATATATTTTCATTTTACAATATAAAATAGGTCAATATTTGACTTGGTTTGGGTCAAGTTAGAAAAGTATTATTCCTACATTTCAAATCAAAATAATAGTATATTCTCTAATTGAAATAATTACAATTTAATTATTATATTATTCCGTGTAGAATCATTTATGCTAATGTATAACCAAAAATAGGAATGTGGCTATTAATTTAACTCCAGAATTTCAGTTTAATCTTCTCAATTCAGTTTCTAATATTTAAAAGTAGCTTAACCAATTATGATAATCCATAGAAATGAAGAAACATCGCAATATTCAATCTTACAAACTCTTATCACAAGAAACAATTGACTTACATATAATTGGAAATAAACCGTGTTAAACAAAACCAGATAACCACTGTACAACTTGCAAATCCCGTAAAATTCTACAAAATCCATAAGAACGAAAATCAATATTAAACAAAAGTTACCGACACATCAAGAGTCTTTACTCTAAAAAATCTCATCTAAAATCATCTAAATGCACCTAAATTCGATTCGGTTAAACCTCAGCAAAGACAGAACGGAAACGGTACTCTGTAATGGCAAAAAAACCTTGGGTAACACAGAAGCGAGTATAATCCATTACCGGAAGGTTGGATAGCGTGTTATCCGTGGTAGTCCGTCGGCTAAAGTGCAAGCAGCGAGTGCAGTGAGTGCGGTAGACACTCACCGGTCGAGCTGGTGTTCTGATTGTACTGGTTCAGGCCCGCGGTGTGGTACGGTTGAGTGGGGCTGCAGGTGGGCCGGGCCCCGTATCCAAGATGAAGAGGCTCGTAACTTGGTGGCCGAGCCACGCCGCACGAGTAGCCGTTGTCCCGTTGCTGAAGACAGGCGCCGGGGCTCGGGCCCACCGTCATGCCTACGGTCATGCCCATAGGGCCCATCCCACCGCCCGTCGATAACGATGACATACTGCTGGTCGTGTGCTGGTTCTGTTGACTGCCACCGGACATTGTGAAACTCGGCATGGACGTCATGGGACTGGACACGAATGGGTACGTTAATTATGGTAGTCAATTTCTTAATTATAATTTTTATTTCTTACACGATTTTTGTCTAGTTTCAGATTCGATCTCAGTGAAAGCAGATATCAAGGAGAAAATGAAAATTAATATCGAAAAGAATTTTGGATAAAATTTTACAATAGGAAAATATATATTAAATATTTTGCAAATTATATAATGGGATATTTCACACGCCATACACGGATGATAATAATTGCCAAGAGCGTAAGACTAAGAATTTTGGGAGTATTTTGATTTCAGACGTATCTTATTTCTATATCATCTCACTAATCACTTTTTCATCTCTGTTTAGTATCTATGGAACAATTGTACCCCTCATCAAAAGCAATTGCTGACAACTTTACAAACTATCCAGCTGATCTTGCTGCTTCTCACCTGTATGAATCAGGCATGCTGGGTATTCCGGGATAAACGGCGGTGGGTGCGAAACCATGATGTATCCTGGGCGGAGAGGGCGGTGCTTGTGGTGGTGGTTGACCAGCCAAAATACCCGAGGCCGGTGGCGGTGTCGGATGGCCAGCGCCGACCAGACTCACCCCGCCGGCATGTTGTTGTTGCTGCTGCTGCTGCTGCGACTGTTGTTGCTGTTGCTGTTGCTGCTGTGGCTGCTGGTGCTGCGGGTTGTCCCTCCGTTGCGTGCGCAATTTCTCTTCGCGCCGCCACTTCGCCCGCCGATTCGAAAACCACACCTGAGTTAGTGAACGAGAAGACAGACGAAGATACAGGTCAATCGCTAGGCTACAGGTTCCGCCTAATTTTCGGTTCTTCGGACGAGACGGGATTTCGTGTTTTTCTTTTTGTTGCTCAGAACACCGTGAACATGGGAAACACCGCGATACTTCGAAAATCGTCGACGCGAGCTAGATAACAGGAACTTGTCGATTCGTGAGTATATTTTTGTCGGTTTTATATGGTTTAGCAGATATGAATTTTATTGTAGATAGAAAGTTCCCTCTCGTATTCGATATGTTACTTAAAAGGCAAAAAAGGAAAGAAAATGTATAAATGTGACCGTAATAGTAAACAGACATTCAGAGTAGAAAAGTTCGGAAATAAAGAGCTGCTTAATGGCCGGGTCTTAATTATTTTTAATCGATATTCATCTAGTATCGCACGCGATTCGCCCTTGAGTTTTTAGAAATAAAATAAAAAATTGGATATGCAAGAAATATCGCAGTAAGTACTATTTAAAAGCTTAAAATAATAAATATATTCACGTATAAAACATAGTCACCTGTATTCGTGCTTCCGGGAGACCAATCTTTCCGGCTAATCTCTCCCTGGCGAAAACGTCTGGATAATGCGTCCTCTCGAATTCCTTCTCGAGAGCATCGATTTGCTCGTTGCTGAAGCTTGTGCGATTCCTTTGAAGCTTCCTTTTTAAACGGAGACGCGCTTGGTCATCATCCGTGCCCCCAGACACACTTCCGGCGTTGCTGTTGTCACCACCGCTATTCGTCTCGTCCGAATGGGCGCCCCCCTCGAGTTCTGCCACTGTACAATCAACGGTGAATTTATATTAACGACGTATGTAACACTAGTATTAATTATAATTAATATAAACGTAAAAGAAATACAGTTGTTCGTTGTCAAAAGTTAACTCCTTTGGTGAAAGGGTACGCACTTGATTATAAGGGTGTGGTACGAGTCATTTTTATTTTTATTTAAATGTATTATATCATAGCCAATTACAGTTTTAAGCACTTAATTAACCAAATAGTCGATTTGAATAAATAAACAAGTACTTATTTCGATTTGTATAACAAAAATGTTTTTAGTTTTGAAAATACCACAACAAAGGAGTTAACTGTGAGTTTTACAAGTTGATCTATGATTAGAGTAGATTTAAACTCAATTAATGTTTCATAATTAAAAGCAATTGTATGTATTCATCACAACATTTACTGTACAAGAAGAATGACTATAACCATTTTTGGAAATATAAAGATTAGAAATAGGTTATAAATAAAGTTTAGAGATTGACGCATAATCGTTTAATAATGCAATTAAAAGAAAAATATACGAATATTTTATATACCGAATAATAGCAGCGATTTCTTATAATAAAATAATTATCGGTGCTGCAAGTTTTTGAGAGCTTAATACGAACTTCAACATTCGTCGCTCTTTTTACCCTTAAAATATTCCCAACCCTATCTTATTCTGCCAAAAAAATAATCGCGAATCACGAGAAATCCTCCGTGGATTGGCTTCCAAAGCCGAATCGATCGATCGAAGCGTCGCGAGTTTTTACTGACCCTGCCCCCTTCTTCGATCTCCTTTTCCTTCTTTTTCAAGGGTCGTCGACAGAGCCCTTCGTCAGTTTTCTTACATAAATATCTACGTGCGTGCACAGTCTCGCGGACTAGATATATAGGTGTATACGTGTATATACGTATAGTCATGGGACGAGGGGGTGGATTCGGTGGCGAGGCGGTAGGCAGGCGTTGCTGGGTGAACCTTATCGTCGGTTTCTGGGTGAGCGCGTCGAGGCGTCACTGGGTTTTGGCTCGACGACGAGAACTGCCTGCCGTGCGGAGGGTGGGGGCGTTAGGGGGTTGGAAAAGCTGGTGGAATGGCCGGGGTAGGAAAGAGCCGAAGGGGGATGCACGATAAGACGTCGAGCGTCCCGACGCCAGCATCCCTGTTCTCCCTGCTGCGATACGCCTCTGTCATTCGTGCAAAGTGCCACCCTTCTGCTCTCCTCTTCCTCTCCTTCCGTTCCTTCCTGTCTCTTTCTCGCTCTGCTAGTTCTACATTTCTTCTTTTTTCATCCTGCCTTTCACCCTCTTTTTTATCTATCGCTTCTATCTTCCACCTTCTCCCTTCGGTTCTCACCTTCGCGTTCGTATCATCTTTGTCTCACCTCTAGGTACGCTGATAATCTTCGTCCTCCTACCACCTCAGATTTCGACGCGTTAATGGAAACCTGATAACAACTTCTCGATGGAGTCTCTTACCCTTCTACCTTGGTTTCGCGATTCTTTCCCGACACCTTTGACTTCGCTTCCTATCCCGTTCGCCTCCTCGAGCAGTTTCTCGTCGCGGTTCGGTGGAAAGCAGATGTTAAGTGACATTCGTTGGAAGACGGTTTCGACACCTCCGGTGACATGTCTGTCTTCGTGTTTTAACGTTGGCTCGGACGAATTAAGGGGTAAATTCGTTGGAGAATTGAGTGTAATGTCGCGGAGATTGTAGTAACTGTGGTGATGGTGCTTGAGATGGTATATAGATAGTGTTTGAGGTTAGGTTTCAAATACGGTATTCGAGATAGACTTTTGTGTCATTTTCTCAACATTCTAGTTAGACGTATACACGAATAAAGTCGAACGAGATATTCTGAATGTAGGGTAGTTAGTATTATCTAAAATATGTGGAGAATTTTTATCTGTTTCTTCCTCTAAATATGTATATTTTTCTAATCGATTGAAATTGCATTTTCTTTCAATTTTGTCGTGAGGCGGATAGTAGAATTAGTATTAAGGTGTAGTTATATCTGTTACTGACAAAACAAATTAATGTAAATGGATAATCAGATTAAGTTCATTTATTAATGGTAATTATAGACTTTCATCAAATACCTTTTTTTATAATATAGTTAATAGATTTAGGTGTATTGCTAGGAATTGAACATCTAGAATCCCAGTTTGCGCCAGTGACATTTAGTTTGCAGTAGTTACAAATTTATTAAATCGATTTTAACCTTTGAACTTTGTTGTATTTTATACTGTAATAGTAACTTATTGTCAAAATATACTTAGGCATTGATAAAAAGAATGCATCCTTCTTAATACAATTTTTTGGGTAAATATTTGGAGAAGGTGGTACTTTGTATGCACAGGATGTCTCATGCAGCAGTATCAAGCAATGTTTTTGTCCTGATTAGAAATAGAAAGAAATGTTAGTAGAAGATGATTGGTTACAAAAGGCTTTAAAGATAATGCGATGAAAGTGAATAAACTTGATAGGTAAAACAAAGAAGTAACATCAAAACGAATCTCAAGACATAAATAAAAATATTAGAAATTTCTTCTAAACAATTTAAATAATAATACCATTAAAAAAAAAATCGAATACTTTTACATATGCACAGAATACTTTTAGACACGTAGAGTACTATTTACATGAAATGTCGATACTTTTAGATATTCGCAATACTACTAGACGAAGTATTCGACGTATTCGTCACACAGTGAAAATAGATAACGCGTTATAAATACATTATTCTTTCCTAATAGTTATCGGCATGAACGTTCATTGTTCCAGCGTTAGTGATGTATTACCGTTCGTCGTAAGGGACCGAAGGGAGGCGATGGTTTTCATAATGATACCGTCGAGGAAGTGAGAGAACTCAAGAGATAATCCGTGGCTCCCTTTCATGGATGCGGTTAAGGTTCATCGTGGAAACTGGCAGGGAGCCACGTTCCTAGCACTAAACTTCTCGTGGAATCGGAGGGCTGTTACACCAAGTTTCCACTACAGGATGTAGAATCCAGAACAATGTGGAACTTCCTCTTCCTCTCGCTTCTTTCGCCCTCTATCCTCCTCCAGATGCCTGTAGCTTCCGCCTCCGGTTAGTTCTACTTTTCCTCTCGTTCCCTATCCTCGTTTCTCCACTATTTCGTTTCTTTTTTGCCTCTCACAGTTTACACTTCGTTTGTCCTCCTTTTTCTCGTTTTTCTTTCGTTGATTGTTTCTTTAGATTTTCCTGCGCTACATCTATAATAGTAACATAACCAAAAGTAACACAACTCAACCTAACGTGCCAACAACGCTATTTTCGCCCTCCCCAGGGACTAGCTGCACATGCTAGAGCGCAGTAGAGCGCAGAGATCCACAGAATGGCAGTCAACAACACAAAAGTTGAAGCTACACTGACCAAACTTTTTCCAACCCAACATAACCGAACGTAACATTACCCAGTATAACGTGCAGAGACCGCTATTGCTGGCCTTCCAAGAGTCAAGCTGAAAATATTAAAGCACTGTAGGTAGAAGAAATCCACCTAATACCAGACTATAGCACCAAAGACGAAGCTATCCTCTCCGAACATAGCAAACCGTAACATAACCAAGCGTAACATGATTCAAGCTAACGCGCCGAGACCGCTATTTTTGCCCTCCCCAGAGCCAAGCTGGTTACACTAGAGCACAGTAGAGCCCAGTAATCCACCGAATAGCAGTGTATAACACAAAAGCCAAATATATCCTAACCAAGCGTGAAATAACCTGACCTAACCAAACGGACACAGCCCAACCTAACGTGCCTGTGCCACCATTGCTGGCCTACCCAGAGCAAAGCGGAGCATATTAGAGCACAGTAGAGAGCAGAAATCCACCGGATGTCAGTGTATTGCTCAAAAGTCAAAGCCACCCAAGCCATACCTAACCAAGCCTAACATAACGAAACGTAACCAGACGAAACCCATCGTGTCACGACCGCCATTGCTAGCCTCCCCAGAGTCGAGAAGGGAATAGGAGAGCGACGACCAGCAGTGAAAACCACCGAACTGCAGTTAATAGCGCAAACGTCAAAGATATCCTCTCCTATCGTAAACAAACGTAACATAACCAAACGTATCCTGACAAAGCATAACG